CAGCCCTATGAAGGAGTGTTAGTATAGCCGGGAACTTCCAGGGCTTCAAGGGGCTTCAAGGACCCTAAATCCTAAACCCTAAACCCCTAAACCCCTAAACCCCTAAACCCCTAAACCCTAAACCCTAAACCCTAAACCCTGAACCCCAACTAATTAAACCCCTAAACCCTAAACCCAGGGCTTCAAGGGTTTCGAGGGTTTTGTAGGACACGACCCTTGCAACTCCTGGAGCTTGGCCTCCTTAGGGTTTAGGGTTTAGGGCTTAGGGTTTAGGGTTTAGGGTTTAGGGTTTAGGGTTTAGGGTTAGGGTTTAGGGTTCTTGAGCCATCGGACCCCACGACTATGTACTTAAGAGCCCTCTCAAGAAATGGAGAATACGAACCCCTATATTACCCTATATTACCCTTACAAGGAAGTTCTTATATAAGCAGTTCGTAACCCATCAGACCGATCCACCCTCGCTCCAAAACGGCTTGAGTCATAAAGCAAGGTGCAATGCGAAAGCAGAGTGAAGTTTCTTTCTGGCAGCCCGGTGTCGAAACGACCGAATGATCCTTAAACCTAAGCCCTAAACCCTAAACCCTAAATCTTGCAGTACTGAAGCCAGACTTGGGAACGCCTCGCAGACAGGCTCGGGAACATTCCTGCGCGCTTTGGGCGTGAAGTGCAGTAGCCAGTCTGCAGATGGGTTTGGGCGCGGTGGGGTTCAGGGTTTAGGGTTTAGGGTTTAGGGTTTAGGGTTTAGGGTTAGGGTTTAGGGTTTAGGGTTTAGGGTTTAGGGTTTAGGGTTTAGGGTTTAGGGTTTAGGGTTTAGGGTTAGGGTTTAGGGTTTCGGGTTTAGGACTTAGGGTAGATGGCTTTCGCCGTGCACCTCAAGTTAGGGCGGTGAGCGTGCCACCTTTACAGCAGGACTTCCTTTGTCGAGCACCCAAAGATATTCCATGAATTTCAACAAACAGTCGGTTCATCGGCGATGGTTTGCTGGTTTTGCTGCCTTGTGTGAATCGTGGTGTGTGGGATTGGGATCGGAAATGGTCCTTGATAGTAGTCATAATACTTTTTACCATCATCATCATCATCATCATCAGATGGTGTGCTTGGGATTCCATCCAAGTGAGTATGTTGCGTGAGCACTGTATTCTGCGCAGCCTATACACAGAGAGTTCCTGCACCGCCATGGTGTGGATAAGGACTTGGCTTGCTGCCCACAACTCTATCCAACAGCGCCAAGGAGAAATATAGGGGTCGGAATAACAACCCTAAACCCTAAATCCTAAACCCTAAACTCTAAACCCTAAACCCTAAACCCTAAACCCTAAACCCTAAACTTCTAGGAATATTCTCTATGGTCCCTTTGCAATTATACTATAAGACCCCCCAAAACCCTGCTCCAATTCTTCAGGCCTCTTATATTCGGGTTCTTCGGTCCAAGGCCTAGGGTTTAGGGTTTAGGGTTTAGGGTTTAGGGTTTAGGGTTTAGGGTTCTTTTTTGTGGGATGCTCTGGGCTCAAGAAGCCGTAGAAAATCCTGGGCATCCCTTGGCAGCCCCCTCCTGCACCCGAAAGAACCCGGTAAACAAACCAAACAAGCCTCCTCTTACAGCCCCCATGCAAAACCCGTCGCCCTACAGGGTTTAGGGTTTAGGGTTTAGGGTTTAGGGTTTAGGGTTTAGGGTTTAGGGTTTAGGGTTTAGGGCTAGCAGCCCTGCTTCCATGTGCTACCAGCAGGCGGAGGCTGGTCGAGTTGCAAGTCGGCGAGGACGCGGACTTCGAACCCGACAGCTTCGGACGGCACCTAGGCCAGCGACCGGGTTTAGGGGGGTTTAGGGGGGTTTAGGGCAGTTTAGGGTTTAGGGTTTAGGGTTTAGGGTTTAGGGTTTAGGGTTTATTTTTTAGGGTTTGGAGGTCTTTTGCGCCGGGTTTGAAGTACAGGGCTTTCTTTTTGTTCGAGAGGTCTTTCAGGGCTTATATAGGGTTTACACTGTGTACATGAAAAACATGTTTGTCGGGCTTAGGTATGTGCTTTAGTAGGGCTTACACCATTGTTCCGAGAACCTGCCGCGGCCCTTCATGTTCAGGAAGATTCCTCCGTTTGAAGCTAAGGACCCTGTTACGGTGTAGGAGATATTCCATAGCTTAAAGGAAGGGGCTTCTTGAAGTTCTCGGTTTTGAGGGGTCGCCCCACACTGATGGGGTTCGGGTGTGGGAGTTCGGACGGTCTTGGGTCATTTCGGGCTCGGGGCGGAGTATGCTCCTCTCCCTTCTACAGCCTTTTTTTCTCCCAAGGATCCCCCCCCCTCTCCTCCCTCCCCCCTCTCTGCGGAGCTGAAGAAGGCCGGAAGTCAAAACAAGGGAGCTCTCGAAACGGAGCCTTTGAAGGAATGACATAGGGCAAGTGCGATTCCCCATCAAGATCCCCAAGCAACGAGACCCCTTTGAAAGCCCCGGACACGAAACTCCCTAAACTCCCTAATCTCCCAAAACTCCCGAAACTCCCTAATCTCCCAAAACTCCCTAAACTCCCTGATCTCCCAAACTCCCTAAGCTCCCAAACTCCTAGACTTCCTCAACTCCTAGACTCCCTTAAACTCCTTAAGCTCCTAGACCCCGTTCAACTCCCAAACTCCCTAAACTCCCGAAACTCCTTCGACTCCCTAGGGTTTAGGGTTTAGGGTTTAGGGGTTTAGGGGTTTAGGGTTTAGGGGTTTAGGGTTGAGGTTCTTAAACCCCTAAACCCTCAACCTTGTGTTCAGACGACGCGGTCCTGGCATTGCCGGGCCTACGGACTCGCTATCCGGACCTGCGAAGGTCCATCCTCTCGCTGAGGCCCGACTTTTACCTTCAGGGATAAGACCCTATAGACCCTAAGAAGGGGTTGTATAGTTGGCTTAAGGGATAAGACCTTAGACCCTAAAAAGGGGTTGTATAGTTGGCTTAAGGGATAAGACCCTAGACCCTAAAAAGGGGTTGTATAGTTGGCTTAAGGGATAAGACCCTGTAGACTAAAAAGGGGTTGTGTAGTTGGCTGAATAGGGGGGTTGTATTCAAACTTCTGTTCTGTGATACCTCGCAGGGATAAAACCCTAAACCCTAAACCCCTTTAGGGTTGTACAGCTGGTTTAGGGGGCGTATTCCAACTTCTGTTATGTTATGCCTTCCCCGAAGCAGTAAACCCTTCAAGGCTAAGGGGGTTTAGGTTCAGGGGGTATATGGAGTCCGTGGTTCATGTACCCCAAGTTTAGGATTCCGGGTTGAGGGTTTAGGGTATGGTAGTGGCGTAGGGGTTCGGTCTGTCACCACCTTGGACTAAGTACACCCCCCGAAGATGGCTTAGAGTGGCATAAGGGCCTTGGGGCTTTCTCGACCTCAGTGGGGGTTCATTCGTTCCCTGGGCCGCGCGGGAACTCATGAAGGAGGGCCTATAAACCCTGAATCCCACAGTTTCAAGCTTCGTTCTGGGAAAGCTCAGGGTTTGTGGCCGTTGCAGTTTCATATCCTCGGCATGAAGAAATGGCTGGTTTGGGCACGCCCAGCTGCCCTCCAGCGAGGCTCCCCCTTAAACCTTCGTTCTGCCGTTCGGACTCCACCCTAAACCCTAATTAAGCTCCAATAAAACCCGGGCCCTAAACCCTTGTCCTGAGTTGAGGCCAACTACTCTGCTCAGAAATATGGGTGAGTGTGTATATGGTTACTTGTACATTGTTTCGAGTGCTTGTGGTGTCCTTTACTTTGACGATACTGGTACGTAAACCCTCCTGAGGCTGCACGTCAACACACAAGAGCCTACCCCCGTGTCCCCTTGTTCAGCGTACCCGCGTACCCTTCTTGGGGTTCCGTTGTGGAACTAGGGGTTATGCTGTTTAGGGGGGGGGGGGGGGGGGGGGCATCTTGGAAAAGACCTGAAGCCCCCAACCACAAACCCTAAATTCTGAATAACTCGTAAACCCTGTAAACCTAAACCCTTAACCCTAAACCCTAAACCCTAAGCCTGAACCATGAACCCTGACCCCTGAACCCTGAACCCTAAACCCTGAATCCTGAACCCTGAACCCTGAACCCTGAACAATGTCATGGAGCTCCGGACTTCAGAGGATCAGCGAGTGCGGACGCTTTGGCTTCGTCGAGGCGCAGAAGAAAGTTCACCACCCGCCCTCCCCCCAGAAGCCTCCAGCCCATACCCCCTTTTGCAGTGTTGGATACGCATTTCCGTTTTCGTATATGTATATATAAATATATACATACATACATACATACATATATATATATATATATATATTTGTATATTTTTATATTTATATCGTAGGACAAGACATATATAACTACATATTTTGAGAGAGAGAGAGAGAGAGAGAGATGTTTCTTTGCAGGGGAACCCGGGACCCCTAAACCCCCAATTTTTTATGACATTGGAGGGGAGGCATAGAGTTCAGGGCTCAGGGCGGAATTGCTGGTTTATGGTTACAGGTGTCGATAGGGTCTATGCGGTTTTGTTCTTTTTGGGTCGGGGGTTCGGGTAGTTGAGGGGGTTTCATGGGGGGTAGGTACCTAGGGGGAAGCTTGGGGGGAGCCTTAGGGAGTAGTAGGGAGTATTAGGGAGCATACCCCGCTTGATCCTCGCTGCCTTAAGAACCCTGTTCCTAGTCAAAGTTTGTTTTTCAAATGTTGGCGCTCAGGTCTCATGGCTTGGGCCTTCAACCCTTAAACCCTGAACCCTGAGCCTTCCAACCCGAGCGAAAAAAAGCAGCAGCAGTCCCTTGCGGAGGCAGCAACCGAGCGGATCGCAAGCAGCATCATCGCCGCGACGAGGCCAAAGGAGAATGTGCAGTGAGGACCTGTTCGTATGAGCTGCGGTTTAGGGTTTAGGGTTTAGGGCTTTTGTAGTCGGTCAGTCTGCACACTAGCCGGATGTCTTTAGTAGCGTTTTGGCTGCGCCACAGCTGGCTGGCTGTACAGGGTTTAGCACTGTCTCGCGAAGCCATCTGCCTGCGGGACAAGCGCAGCATGGATCTTCTGGACAAAGATGGTGACTGCATACACTTCATCATTGATGCCAGTGGCAAGCTGAAAGAGCCCCTTGGCAAGCAGAGTGCCTAGTTATGTCTATGTGCAGGTGGTGTCATGTCTCGCAACCGTTTACCCTCGTCAGCACGTCCATTGCAGAGTATTGCTAGCATCTTCGGATTCCAGGGCTCTAGGTTTCTTCAATTCCGGGGAAGAAGGGCGCATATTTCGCTCCGAATTTGGTTCTGAGGTACGTCAATGGCAAGCTGGAAATCGAGGATGTGCGATGGCTCGAGCACTTTGGTTGCTCAGAGCTCTATGTCGCATCCGGGTGCACCCTAAAACACTTTGCAAGCTGAGGTACAGCGCCGGCTCTGGAAGCATTTCCGACGCCAAGGGCGTGTTCCAACTCCAGGAGCAAGACCAGGCGAGAAGGGGCTTTGGAACCCTAACCCTATAGACCCTGTAAGGGTTTAGGGTTCAGGGTTCAGGAACCCTAACCCTATAGACCCTGTAAGGGTTTAGGGTTCAGGGTTCAGGGTTCAGGGAGACCCTACACCCGAACCCTGAAACTTAAGCCCCCCCAACCGCCTGAACCTCACCCCCTGAACCCTAAACCCTCGTCCTGAGGTGGAAAAGGCACTGGGCCTCCATGCCCTGGCGAGTCGAGCGGGCATCGACTGGCGTGGCGATGCGCCTCCACCCCCCCGAAGCCTGCTGATCACCGACACGGATGGAGACAGGTGGGAGGGTGTTTAGGGTGAGGGCTTCGAGGGGGTTTTTTAGGGTGTATAGGGCGCGGCTGATTATACGGTTTATACGACTTACAGGGATTCTAGGGCTTGTCGGGTTTTCACGCTTGGTCCGAAATTTGGAGCTACAGCAAGAGCTACAAGTTGGTTTAGGGTTTAAGGCTTTTTATCTGTGGGGTTCAAGGTGCCATCACTCAAATACATGCTCACGGGTGGGCGTTGCTGGCTTGGCCCCCTGGTCCCCTGGTCCGCTGGGAAGGTTGGAGTTTGTCTTCAACGAGGACGGCAAGCTCCAGGACACGAACCCCAAGTCTGTCTTGCGCCATGCCCTCTAAGCCCTAAACCTTATTCCCTAAACCCTAAGCCCTATTCCCTAAACCCTACTCCCTAAACCCTAAACCCTAAACCCTGTTTTTTTTATGAGGAGTTCAACAACGGGGAGGTGGATCTTGAGGAGGTCACCACCATGTGCCTTACTTAGCCGTTCGTCAACTTTGTACTTTTTGGGTTAGGGTTTAGGCTGTAGGGCTTAGGGTTTAGGGTTTAGGGTTTAGGGTTGAGGGTTTAGGGTTTAGGGTTTAGGGTTTTTTGGTAGGAATAACAAAGTTTAGCAGTTTTTTCTCTTTGGTTCTTGGAGAAGTAAGGTGCTTCAAGTTCGCTGATGGATCCGTCACTGACGACACAGGAGATCTCCAAAAAAACATCCCGGGCATGCTCACGTTTTGTGGTATACTCATACAGCAAGATGATGATAGAACCACAGAATGGTAACGCATGATAATATAGTCGTAGAATGAAAAAGCAACATCCTGCAAAGGGGGGTTTTCTGGTGTCAAGGAATTTTCCGGGAGTCAATCGAGCGTCTTCGCAATTTGCCTGGCAGAAAGAATCAAGATTGGGAAGCCCTCACCCTAAACCCTAAACCCTAAACCCTAGTGCCTCAGAGCAACATCACAGACCATGTTGTGGACGAAGTGACCCCCATCCAAAAACCAAGGCAGCCTGGACCCTAAAAGCCTGCTACTGCCAGCAGGAGTCTTCACCCTGCCACCCAGAGAATGTATGCAGAAAGTCGCTGCGCTGTACGCGCTGGCGCTTCAGGCCCACCCTTGGCCATCGGGTGTGTCAGGACACTTAACGATTGCGGGGTTTTTAGGGCATCAGGGTTTAGGGTCTTAAGGTTTGGGGGTTTAGGGTTCAATGTTTGTGGGTTTCGGCATGTGGAGGGTGTGGATGGGCTCGGGGGAGCAAAGCACGTGTTTTGCCTTAAAGGGTTAGCTTATGTTAGCTTCCTCCACTTGCCGAGGACCCGGAGCAGGCCCTTCTTCCCTTGCAAGACCCCTTTAAAACCCTAAACCCCAAACCCCAAACCCTAAACCCCAAACCCTAAACCCTAAACCCTAAACCCTGTTTCTTCCTACTTGCACACTTCTTCTCCTGGCGCGAGGCGGGCATCCGATGGACCGGCGACCATCCGTTGCAGGCGATGCCTCTCTGTGCTGCCCTCTGAACCCTAAACCCTAAACCCTAAACCCTAAACCCTAAGCCCTAAACCCTAAACCCTAAACCCTAAACTCAAGCTGAGCCCTATACGCCCTGAGTTGACAACACAGCCCAGGGGGGGCAGTTCTCTAAATCAGGTTCCTTTTTTGAAGTTCCTATGTGTATGGTAACGCGAACGTTAGATACGTTAGATAAAGAACCCCCCCCCCCCCCCCCCCCCCCAAACAAAACGAGCCCAATTTAGAGACCTACCCAAGCACTTCCTTAGGGGACCACATGAACCCAGGTTTCTGGTTCATACACCTTAGTAGACATTAATTATTGTAATATCGGGCACATGACCCAATTCTATAACTTAATGGATATGTTGTAGTAGTACAACTAGGGCACACAATTTTAGGGTGTCCCCATGTGCTCCGAGAAGTGAAGTTCGCAGGTCTCCGTGCAGCCGGTCGGCAGCGAGCCGAAGGCTCCGCAGACGAGCGGCAGAGAGAGGGATGCAAAGAATTGAAAAGAGAAGAGACAAGAACATAAAAGACAAGTTTCATTCAAGAGAAAGAAGAGAAAGCAAAACAAACGAAAAGAAAAGCTAACAAAAGAAAAGAACAAACGGAAAGACATAAATAAATAACTGAGGAAACGCAGAACGGAGGAAATACCGAAACAACGAAAGAAGGAAACAATTAACGAACCTACACTCTTGCGTGCATTTCATGGCTGAATGCCCTTCCTGTCTTTCTATGTGCATATCTATCTATTTACTTATCTATCTATCTACTGTATCTACCTATCTATCTCTATCTATCTTTATCTGTATGCATGAGTTGTCATCATCATCATCATCATCGTCATCATCGTCATCGTCATGATCCTGTTTGGCGGCGCAGGGGCTAGATTTTGGGCTTGCCGGGCCCGGTTGGGTGCAAAGACACCCGCAAAACGCCTGGCGCAGGTTCTTGACATCGAGAACTGCGCAGGGGCCGGGAGCCCAGTGCACACAGCAATCTCGATCACCTGATTAAAGCCAGCTCCGCTGGAGATTTCAAACCCCCAAGCCCTTTATTATCTTGTAAACCCTCGAACCAGAAACCATAGATTAACCCTTCAAGGACTGGGAGTACGAATGTCCCAAGCTTTGGGAAAGCTTGACCCCGACGGATGTGCCGAATCAGCGCTTCTGCAGCGTCTGCAACTTGGCGGTGAGGGGCCTTCAGGTTTCACAGGGGTTGTTGGGGGTATATGGGGTTGTACTGTACGGCTTGCAGAGGTATAGGGTTTAGAGTCGGGTTTTGGAGGTCAGGGCCCCAGGGAATCCTGGCCATGGCTTTGTTCCGTCCACCGGGGAACACTGCGGTGATTCGAGCCGTTTTCCAGCCTGGTTGGTGGTGCCAAATGGATGTCAGGACACCCGGCGAACCTAAACCCTGCAAGGCATCTACCACCCATGGTCCCTGGTCCGAAGCTCTTGTCCTACTATTTGCTTAAGAACACCCAAAAAACAATTGCCCTTATAAGGACGAATGTATTATTTTTATTTTTTTTTGGGGGGGGGGGGGGGGGTTCTTAAGCAAATAGTAGAGTCCAGGCAAGGAGAACGTCTACTTCTGTGAGTCCATCGAGGAGATCAACGCGCACAGCATGCAGCGGCGTTGCGTGGCCTTCCTGGCGCGTGAAGCCGGCGTTGGCGCGGCATCTGCCACCACGAAAGACAGCCGCATCCTCAGCAGGCTTCCAATGTGTGGGTCGGAAGAGTTACTAGTAGTATTCCTTATGGTTTCTATACGAATTTATCTATATAACCCCGAAAACCCTGTTTTGATTCTTAAGGCCCCCCCCCTCCCAGCACATTAGGGCGGTTTGTAAGACAACGGTATGGACGAGTGTGTGTTTTAGAGACCGGCCTTTGTAGTCCGGAATATTTTCCTCGATTGCAACTGGGCTGTAGCTCTGCAAGCATGTTTTTGTGTTTCCTTTCGTGAGGTTAACAGGGACAGGATCGAGAAGAACAACAGAGACAACTCATTAAATCACTCTTCCACAATTCGAAGTCGATGCCAGAACGCACTCTTTAGGTGGCCTCTCCTTGCACATTGCCTTGCTGTCCGGGGAAGAGCTTCCCCAACTGAGCCTCCCAGCAGAAGCCAGCGTCCACGACGTCAAGAAGGTGGGACAACTCGTTTTAGGGTTTAGGGTTAGGGTTGAGGGCTTAGGGTTTGGGGTTTTAGGGTTTAGGGTTTAGGGTCTGTTCGGGGGGAGGTGGGTTGCGATTTTCTATTCAGCTCTGTTAGCTGACTTTGCCATTCTGGTTGCCGATTCAGGCGTTCTGGTTTCCGATCTTTGCGTGGACAACAGCGGTATACTTGGAGGTTCACGGGTCCCGGGTACTTGGAAGTAGGGTGACAAGTACCTAACATAAGCTTAGAAGTACATAGTTTACACACTTATACGCCTACTTGTAACAACCCATTAACCTCCCAATAAGGGCTCCGTCTATTTGGGGAATCATTTGCGGGTCGCGGGTGTGGATTTCGGCGGGGGCTCGCGGATTCTGGATATCGAGTGATATTTTCCAGGTCTTCCTGAAGTTCCGTTTGGAAAGCTTGTGGCCTGTAGGGTTTAGGGCTTGGGGTTTAGGGTTTAGGGTTTAGGGTCTAGGGTTGAGAGACATGTGGGTGCAGATACAGTTCAGGCGGCGGCAGAGGTGTCGGGCATACCTGTGGAGGAGCAGACGACTCCTGGCAGCATGTCTCTCCTCCCTAAACCCTACTCCCTAAACCCGAGGCCCTAAACCCTAGAAGACAGGGCGCGCTCCTGGTTGGTGAGTGCCAACCTTACATACTTTCGGCCGTTAACAGGGAAGCAGGGAATCGGCAACGAAATCCCGATCATGAAGGGTCCCTGAACCCTAAACCCTAAACCCTAAA